CATTCGTCGAGACAAAAGACCTGCTCTTGGGAGAAAGAGAAAGGTAAAAAAAGTGGATGCCAATCACTTAGATGGAACTGAATCAACTGACAATTCTGAGAAAGGAGGAGCTGCATTTCTTGCTGTTTGTCGAGGAAAGGTATGCCAACTTTTATGCCGAGGACTCCTGTAATCAGCCAGTTGGAGTATTGGTGAAGGGTTAGGAGCTGAGTCCATTTTGTTGGCGTTAGCTAGGAAGAGCATTGCTATAATACTTAAGCAGATTTTGTTGTCTTTGGATTGAAGGATTTTTAGCCCGGGCTTTAATGTTTGCATTGGTGGAATTTTTGTGAGCATGGTTAAACAAGCTGCAAATGATAATTTAGCGCATTAAGTTATTCAAAATGATTGCAATTCCAATGTCTGCAATTCTAAATAGCGCATTATTTTCAAGTTCATGGGAATCATTATGCTATTATATTGCTGTTAAGCTCTTTCAAATTTTCATGGGAATCACCTTTCTCCCCATGCATATGCTAAATTGCTGTGTTGTTCTTGCAGGTTTCAGAAGGAATAGACTTTTCTGATGATTATGCTCGGGTAGTTGTATCCTTCTGTGTTGTTTGAAATATAATTACCTGCATTTCTCTACTTTTCTTTAATCTGAGTTGGGTTCTTGGTGCTTCTTGAGTTAATGGAATCTCTACTGGGTGCAGATAGTTGTTCTTGTGGGATTGTCACACGTTTAAGTGAACTTGATTTTAGGGATCATAATGGGTCCTTATAGTTGGTTTGTTAGTGTTATTTTGAATATCTTCTCCTTCTTTGTCATGGTAAGAGCATTTCATTGTATTTGAATCACTATTGCTTTTCAACCTGGATGGGTGTTTTACCTTTAATTGTGAATACCTCAGATAGTAGTTGGCATTCCATTTCCAAACATGTAAGAATTCTTACAAGCTCTGAAAGCTTTTTAAAACAACAATTTTTTTTTCCAGATTTGCTTATTGATATTGACATGTTTTATCAGAAATGATATTCAAGTTGGTTTGAAGAAGAAATATAATGATGCATACAAAACGTCCAAAAACCTTCTTGGTGGAAATGAGTGGTACTGTCAACAAGCCTTTCGAGCTCTCAATCAAGCTGTTGGTATGCCATTTGATTAGCTTTACAATTAATGCTTTCCATTTGGCTTGACATAAAGCATACATATAATCCACAAGCCTTTTCTCTTTCTCCTCTTTGACTACACCTACTATCTCCTCTTTCTTCTTTCCAACTAGTAACTCCCTTTTGTTTCTTCAGTTGGATACTCATTGTTTTCTCTCTCTCCCTCCTTTTGTTGTCGAAAATTCAAGCATTATCTGATAATTGCTAAATATGATTAATGAATTTGGGTATAATTCTTCATTTGAATTCATGCAGGACGCTGTATACGGCATAAGTTTGACTATGGGTCCATCATCCTATTAGGTAATTCATTTGATTGACCATTGATCAATGATTTTTTTTTCTCCCTGGTACTGAAAATATCCTTATGATTTGACAGCACTTTGCTGTTGTCTCTGTTATTTTTTTATGTGGCTTTTATTTCATTGGCAAGCAGATGAGCGTTATAAGGAAGAACGGAATAGGGTATACATCTCGAAATGGCTAAGGAAATCGATTCAACAGCACAACAACTTTGACATGTCTCTAGAAGTATTGAGATCCTTTTTCAGGAATGCCAAGGTCTTCTGTTTATCTTCATGTGTTTTGCATTTAATTAAGGAATTCCATCTTCCTTCCATGGTCTAATCAGCAGGTGAATGATAACATTGTTTGTGGTCTCTGCTTCAACTTATTTGCAGGAGAAGGTTGGCAAGAATATGGAAGAATTCTTGTTGAATTCTGATGCTAACAAGGAGAAAAATATCCCTCGAATGGATCAAATTGTAGGGCACACAAGAAACAAAAGTCAGAAACTGAGCAATTCTGATCAGTATGGAGAGAAAATAGTCTCTTTGACAAAGTGTGAAGGTGCTGTTTCAAAACTGAAGTCCCAAGATGATGTTGAAGTACAAGCTTCTTTTCAAATAGACGATGAGTTGGAAAGCTCTCAAGAAATCATTGACCTAGAGTGTGATTCCCATATAGGTTCAAGGTAAATGACTTGCCCTGTTATTTCATCATGTTTTTGTTATCTTTGCAAGTAATGTAATTTGCTGCTAGCAGGCACTATGGTCCCATGCATTATTTAGAAGATTTCAGTTCCAATTATTGTGCTGTACTAGCAAGTTAGGTATTCATATTGCAAGTGGTAGTACTGGTTACAAGCATTAACCAGGTTTATTGCCAATGAACATAGTCTTATCATGCAAGTGCCGACAAGCTCAAGAAAAAAGACAACGAAAAAAACAATCATGGAACTTCAGCTAGTGGATTGCATTTTAAAAACTAAACCCAGCAGATAGAATAATACAAATGACCTATCCTCATTCAGTCAAGAAAGAAACTAAATGCTTGAATTCCCGTGCAAAAAATATGGTCTGATGGAACATATCGGACTCCCCTTCAGGTGCTCTGAGGCATCTTTCCATGAAGATCCAGAAATAACCCTTGTCGAGGAAACCCCTGGCATGGGTGAATGTGGAGCTGCAGCCAGTCCAGGATTCTTCTCAAAGGATGGCAACTCTAGCTCAACCATGATGCAGGCCCCTAATGAGCTTGCAGATCAAGGGTTAGTCTCTTTGGTGTCTGTGACAAACCAAAGTGCTGCTCCAGACAAATCTCAGTGTTCAATGCTGGTTACTCCTGAAAAAGAGTTAACTATAACTACCTGCAACCTGAGACCAGAAGTAGAGTCATCTTTGAATTTAAGTGTTAATTCTCATACACAGAAACGGAGGAAGTCCATGGACTTATTACTAATAAAGCTGCAAGGAGAACAATCTGATACCTCCTATGCTGAAACTCCTGGCTGTATTAGTTTCACTAGAAGCTCAGTCACTAGTGGAGACACAAATCGCAGGATTGAATTTGGTTTGGAGACAAACTGTAGAGAACGTCAATCTACCAAGCATGCTTCTCCATGGCTGCCTAATTCTTGTGCTACTTCATGTGCATCTTCTGATTCTCTCATGGACAAGAGATTGCAAATTTCTTGCTCCCTCTGCAAAAGCCCATTGGGTCGTCCTGAGAACAACCTGTATGTTGAGTGCTCCTTGACTTCTTCATCAAAGGTTCACCTAGCATCTCTTGTGAAAGAAAGAATGGAGCGTTGTGCCAAGAACAAGTCAACATGTGTACCAGTTCTTGTGACTGACATCTCATCAGTTGATCAGCGTCTCTGCAATATTGCTCTTCAAGATGCCCGGCAAAAAGGAGTCTGGAGTGAAGAAGATGGCTGCGTTTTCAACTCAGTTTTTTGTCCCTTTTGCAGTATGTCTAATTGCCTTGGAGTGAAGATCATGGCAACAGATGCATCAAATGTTCAGTTACTTAACAAAGTAGGTTTTAATTGGATCCTGCATTTATATGATGCTCCAAACTAAGAATAGCTTGTCTTTATCTTTGGTTTGTCCTGCTTTGGCAGCATATCTTAACCTCTGTTATTCTGAATACTGTTTCACGTGCAGATATTATTCTACACTGATTGTCTGGAATTTCAGAACCTTGAAGCATCAAAGGACTTGGAACCTATGGATAAGGTAACCTTGTACTGTATGTTTTTCCCGTTCTGTTATTATGCAGTTGGATTTGCTTTTTTTTGTAATACTGCTTTGAATATAGGAGAGATGGCAAGGTAATTCATAAATCTGTCTGACTTAGTTGAAGGAAGCGGTAGTAGGGGAACTGCAAAATAAGAAACGAGGTAGTGTTGAGCTTGAATTCCTTGTGAGCATGTGGCTTGACAGTCTCCCTTTACTTCAAAAAGTGTATGGACTGCAACAGCAAAAATTGAGGTTGTGTTTGAAAAAATAAATATTACATTCAGCTCAAGCGATGAAGGGGTGCGATGGGCTCGTTTGCATCTTTGGTGCAAATTGTGCAACAGAAAGAAAACGTTAATATCACTAACAAGATGATAGGTGTTCGTTTCATTTATTTTTCTCTGTTAGTGGTTGAATAATGTTTCTTAACATGGAAGCAGGATTTGTCGCCAGTAACCCGCACAGCCATGGATAAAACTGCCTTGTTGAACTCCCTTGATAGATTCTCATATTCCCCACAACCTAATTCTGGAGGCTGGAGGACTACAAAGTCAAAGGTTTGTGATTCTGAAATGCTCCGGGCTTTATGGGCACAGGGCATTTTACCTGCGGAAAATTTGCATATCTGAAACTAATTTCTGTTGGCTGCAGTTGAGACTACCGAAGAGAGACGTGCTTTCTAATACGCAAGGTTAACAATGACCTAGGGTTGGACATTCTGATTTCCGCCTCGAACAGTCTTCTACATGTGTATAATGCCATGAAAATCATTACGGGCTAGTGCGAAATCTAGCTTTTTCTGGAAATTTATATCTGGGGACAATTATGGATCATCTTAGACTAAGCGTGCAACGGCTGCAACTTGATTCTGAGTTAGGCTTCCCAGCTGCTGCATTGACCATGCAACTCTTGATGCATAATTTCACAGCCTCAGCATCCAGTCTATCGAGGAAATAGACGTTGCAATCCAAAGTAATTGATTTTGCAGGATAAGACACTTGTTATTGTGGTTGTAGAGAGCTTATCCAGAGTGGGATTAATTGGTCTTGATCAGGATTTGTAAATTTTTGGTGGGTGACTCGATATGTATATGTTGGCTTGGTCTTCGCAGCTTTTAGCTATGAAAAAGACGAAGCTGATAACTTGGTGAATCATTGTATCTCGTCATGTCTCTTCTGATTAATACAAGTCTCAATCCCCTCAGCATGAGTTAATTATAAACATAAGCTATAGTTATAATTTCTTTCAAGATAACACAGACTAGGATTTTACCTGCAAATAGAAGGTAATCTCTCCCAATAAACTTGCTATAGAAGATGCATTCCGTTCAGATTTACATGATGCTCGGTTTCTATTAAATCAATCAATTTTTACACACAAAGCATATGGTCTAGGCACTGTAGAATCATAAAGATCCAATCAAATGGGTGAAATACAGAGCTTGACATAATCAGAAATAAAAAATTTACTACCACTAATACCATGATATTTCACTCATCTTAAATAACCCAGATGGTTGGAATTAGGCAATCAGTAAAACGCATGCCACAACGATAGTCCTAAGCCCTAATAAGCCTTGTGAATGTAAGTTCTCTGCGTACCATGTTATCTTTCGCTGCATAAATGCTCTATTATATTACTATCAATATCAGCGTCCTTGAACTCAGCAAGCTTCTACCGGAGCATCTCTATCGATCTGAAAGAGACATCATCCAAACAAGTCATATTGCTCCATCTGCCAGTATGGAATACAGCTCCCTGGGGATTCAATCTTCCCCATCAGCTGGTCAAATCCTGCACGCATGAACAAGTGACATTAAGAGCATTCACTTGCTCGGAGATGCTCGTATGTTGTATCTCTGACCGTATATGTGTCCTTAAGAACAGAGGTCTGTTCGAAACTGGCTTGAGTGTCAAAAAGAACTCTTAATGCATGGATCTTATGGGAAAATAAGGGCAAGCATGTGGGAGTACCTATGTCTGGACTGTTGAAGTACATATGGTCAGCCATCGGTGTGGTGTTTTCGTCAGGTTGGCTGTCTTCTGCCCTGGTCTTCTTCTCTTTAAAAGACTCAACATCTGTCTCCATTTCAGATTCTCCATTGTTTGGCACTACGGCTGATTGCTTTCTTTTTGAACGAGCTCTCCTGTTTTGAAACCAATTATAGACATTTGTTTCAGAAATTTGACCATGTTGTGCGAGTTCTCTGGTTATATCTTTGATCTTCTGCCTGCCTGGAGTCGCATTGCATTGTTTGAAAATCTGCTCAAGGATTTCAAGTTGCGCTGGTTTTGGAGTCCACCGCTGCCTCGACCCTATCTTGTGGACAGCAGATGACAGTAATGGATCACAGTATGGATTCCCAAGCCCCATGCCTAAATCAAAAACAAAAAATTGATGATTTACATCCACAAAACTAAGCAAAACGTGTACTTACAAAGAAATTAAGAGGACAACTCATCAGGGAAAATTAATTAGACAATTAATGGCTAGTCAAAGAATTAACTCAGCAAAACTTGCCCCCGTACAATTTTCAGAGACAGAAGTGACCAAGAGTGCTTTAAAGAGAGCAAATTGCATACTAGTCCAAAAGTAAAGTAACATAATTTCTCCATATCCAAGAATTCTCAAACCCTACTGACTTTCCCATTGATTCAGTTAAAAAATACACATGAACCCATTACAGGAGAGAAAGAAAGAGAAAGAAACCAGCAAAGTCCTGTTGGGCAGAGAGAGCCTTGTGCATCTCAACAAGCTGCTCACAAATAGTGGCATAGACAGAGATTTGCTTCCTCAACATCTCCATTTGCTCATCAGTCATCACTTTCACACCCAACCCTCCACAATTCTGAAACCTCCCCTCCTCCATGAGTCTCCACTTCCTCTTGACTCTGCCTACCTCTTGACAGGCACTAGTATATATGCTAGCCCCTTTTCTCCCCTTTCTTTACCTAATAATGTTTCACTTTCTATGACATATGGTTGTAGCTTTAGACACAGTTTAGCCGTAGAAGTAGAATTGAAGTAATCACAAGACAACAACAGGAAGAGGGTCTGAGGTCTCTGTATAAAGGGTTGGAAAAGGAAGGAAGGGTTGGCATAGATCAGAGTTGGGATGCTGACGGACTGCGCATTTTAGCATGATTGAGCGGGTTTCGCGCGTCTCTACATATAAAGGTAAAGATATCTTTCTTGCGTCCAAATCTTGCTCTTCATATAAATCATAAATGTTATGAATAACGGTAAATTCCATTTATCCTTTTCTTTCCTCGTAATTCAAATTTTACTTTCTATAATTTTATTATTTATTTATTTATTTTTGTGAGAAAACCCCATCTAAAAAAATTGTAGTTAAAAAATTAATATTTCAAATAAATATTAATATCGAGGATGTTGTAGTGATCAATATATTTAACCTTTCTCTTAATTTATCAAAATCCAAACTTTAGAATCTCCATTGAAGAATGAATATATCCTTAAAAAAAAAAAGATTTATTTCAAATTAATGTGCAAGATGGTAAGATGATGTAAATACTATCTTGGTTATCTAGCTAAGAATCTTTCAAATGAAGGGAAGGGAATTATTTCCTAGATCATGATTAGAATTTCAATTTATGGTGGGTTATGAGCAAGTGGATTCAAATAATTAGAAATTGAAGTTGGAAATACGCATGCACGAGAGCAAAATCAAAGTAATTTCAATGCTTTGAATCATCAATGCTGGCTTTCATTAGCCATGGAAAACAGCATTCCATGTGAAAATCAATATTTCAAGCATGTGCTTGAGTAGGAAAATGGAGGTGTTGGTCAAGTTATGGACATGGTTACATGCCCTCCTTGTCCTGGTGCCTGGGCTAATGTTTAATTAGTGATGATCCATTCGGGTCTAAATTCAATATCCTCTAATTTCTAGCTAAATTATCCTATTTAATCTACCTCTTCCAAACCAAAGTTATTAAATATGGTTGGTTTCATAATTTGAAGGGTAAACTTTAGATTATAAAAGGAGTGAATTAATTCGAGTTATTCTAAATTAATTCAAAATAATATTTAAAAAAAAATAAAAATTAAATCGGAACTTGATTTGAAAAAAAATAAAAATTAAATCGGAACTTAACCAAATCAAGAAAATCAAATTTGATCTAATCAAATTCAATCTAATTTACTTTAAAACTTGATAGACAAAACACCATATTAACTGAGTTGTATTTAAACACCTGTTTCCAACCAATACTCTTACAAGTGCATTTGTATTTAATTATCTTTTTATTTATCAAGCTAAAATCTGATTTAATAATCTAATAATTTTTGACAAAAAAACGTGACGACTCGAGATCACTTGAACATCACCAATCTTTTTCAACCGTAAAGCAAGAATTACAAGCAATGACATATATATATCACTACAAGATAAAACAAGGGTCCCTGACAGGTAGCTTTATGAGGTGGTTTAATTGAAAGAGGGGTAACAAAAACACAAGGCCTATGGCCTAGCTCCCCTCTTAATTCCTGCCATGGAATTAGGGAATTTGGTGTACCTAACGAGGGCAACAACCTCGAGGGATTTTGGGATGCCTTGACGAATAAGATGAAAGATTAGAGCAGCATGTCTTGTCTGCAAAACACAGGGAAGCTTAAAATATCAAACTAGCCCGCAGGTGAATGGTGGGTCTCAGGACAATAGATCTTGTAGAACCCACTGTAAATGGAAGATCTTCTGGTGGCATCTTCCAATGATTTGTTCTTGCCCTTTCTATATTCCTTATAGCCGATGTGCTGTGTACAAATAAAATATATGTGGACTCTTCCCTTTAGATTTTTTATTTCTTGAAAAGGAAAAGGGAAGAACTCTGCACAGAGAACGTTTTATGGCAGCTCTTTTTCTGGATTTAGCCCAAGTTTACGGTTTCACTTTGACAGCGTATGAGTTTTATAGCCCACCCGGTTTTACAAGGCCCATGAAATTTCTTGATATTAAGTTATAACCCAACACCTAGTCCGAGACTGATCCACGGAAGGGTCTGGATCATTGGATTCTCGTGGTTATTTCTTTTTTTAAAAACTATTGATATTAAATCAATGGAGCCAATATCAAGATTGATTTGAGGTTAAATTTAGAACCCATCATAAAGTAGCCTCCGAGAATATTAAATCTTCGAAGTCAACCATTCACCATCTTTAGTTTTGTGAATAAAACAAAAAAAAAAATCTATGATTCCAGTGTGACCTTTTCTCGTAAGCCAGTACCCTTCAAGTTAGTAGGCTTAGTTTCTTCTCATCAAATATTTTCTTGCCATTTTTTTCTAAGATTCTCTGCTCCTCGAAAACCAGGCTTACCGTTAGAATCTTCATCTATGATAATCTTTGAACAAACCTTCAAGGGAAAATCCAGTTGATCAATTTAAAGAGATTATAAGAAGAAAAGGATTACAAGACACATAATGGGGTCAACGTTATTAGTTTTGGAAAGTGAAGTTCGCTTTTTAATCATCAAATCACTGATTATGACAGAAAATCAGCCTATGAACTCTTAATGCTTGCCCTAGCTTCAACCAACCATCAACAAAGCTAGCAAGACAGTTTCTTTACTTGCTTGACCCAGCACCAGATTACACTGGCTTGACTTCCACCCATTGACCTTCATCTGAGATTCGACAGATTTTTCCTTTTCTAAACACGTTTCTAATTATTAAACATGAAAAAACATAGAAAAAACTAAAAGTCAAAACAGAATAAATATTAAGAGGTTTGAATCTCTTGCCAGATAAAGAGTTAAAAACAAGGTTTTTTTCCCACGAGATTGGGTAGAGTTTGTTTACGAATTGATAATTATTTTCCCCACCTGAGGGTGCAGATAATTTACTATGCTGTTAGCCGTTGATTTACCATGCTTTAACACTCTTCTATCTCTTGCTAGCCCTGATTTACCGAGAAGATATGGCTCAACTCCGCCAAGCTTAACAATGATAACCAAAACACGCTCTGCGAGCATCTTGGGGGTTAACGGATTTATCCAAGCCAAAAGGGCCGTATCAAAATTAATTTTGTCATCATCTTTGTCATTGCACTTACTGTGAGAACCACATCATCATGAGAGGAAAAGCACAGCGATTCCAATTGTGAATTTGTGAAAGCAAGAAGTGCTTCACTTCGCGACCCAGCACGGGTAACCATGCTGTCTCCTCGCAACGTGAGGAGGCATGAAAATCACCAAATCAGTCATGCAATCCAATAAAAATAACTGAAAAGTTGACAGTATTTATTAACTGCGTCACCGCCCACAAATCACTGAAAGAGCTAACTAATTTTTTAGCCACCCCACCATAAAAGATAGCTTGACGACAATAACTGCGTTGACTGAGGAAAATAAAATACCAAAAATAATAAATGTTAACATACGTGTTTCATGCAGCGTAAAGATTCGACCATTGCCATCCAAACAGCTCGGCAAGCAACAGATTCACATAAAAACTCACCCATATCCAAACCAGAATCATGCATTCAAACCTTCGACATTGGTTTGACAAGCGAACCTGAAATTCAAAAGCGGGTGTAGAGGGAAAGTGACAAACACGCAGGCTGCAATAAAGTAAATTCAGTAACAACGTGCGTGGAGGAGGGGACACAATGGGAGTACAGACGCCAACACAGGGATACATCAACTCGAACAAGACATTTTTAACCACACCAAAGCCGGCATAAACGCAAGAGGAAAGGGTCCGAAACAGAATAATGTTGCATTCACCCAAGAAAACACAGCATCCAGTAAGAAATTGCAGCCTAGTAATTAGTGAAACCATCCTACCATTTAAAATGAGCCGAAATGCAGTGCAAAAGGCAAGAAGAAAAAGTTACACACATGCGACCCCATTCGATCATATAACATCTTCACTAGGCATAGCTATGGAATTGAACTGATGAAAGGGCAAATAAAGAGAACCACATGATCTACAGAAGATAACCACTTATCTAATTCATTAAACTTTGGTTCAAGTAAACATAGAGTTCTCCCTTCTACACCTATTAACTTTTTTCCCTAGGAAGGAGGAGGACAAAATAACAAAGGGAGCAGTTCGCATATCCTTCCCTTAGAAGACAGTAATTGAAAAAAAAATTAACATGCCAATACTCGGCCATCAACATACAATGTCCAAACATTGTCACGACCTAGATGACTATGCTATTCCCCGTGTCCAAATCCTACTCGTCGTCGTCATCCTCCTGCACCAATTCCCAAAAAAAATTCCAAATTAGACAAAACTCAAACAAGCAATGCCACCAACCAGACAGTCGAACAAGATGCACCAGCTCTAACCTCTGCACTGCCCTCCTCATCATCTTCATCTTCATCATTGACTTCCGACACTGACTTCTCGGATTCCTCTTCTTCCTTGGGCCCTTCAGCCTAACACTCACCAATGACACAAATCAATTTCAAACCACAAACACGATTACAGCTTGACACTAAAACAACTAAGTCAGTCCAATTACCTGCTCCTTGTTGTAGGCTTTCATCTTCTTCTCATACTCGACTTTCCTTTTATCAGCCTTGGCAACATAGGGTGCTTTCTCCTGTAACCAATCAATCAATTAATGTTAGCAAAATCAGTGAAAAACAATGTTTACAAAACTTCACCCAGATATTAACATAAATTTAACAAAAAATACTCACAGCCGCTGACAGTGACTTCCATTTATCTCCTCCAGCTTTTCCAACCTGAATAATAATTTATTTATCACGTTAAAAATAACAAAAAATCGATTATAAACTATAATCAATAATTAATTAACAATATCTGAACTCACAGCAGCAACTGATTTGTTTTTAGGGTGCTCCTTCTTGTACTGCTCTCTAAACTCCTCCCTGCAGTCAAAGTCAATTTATAGCTAAATTATTGTTCCATAATTAGCTAAAAATGAACAAGAATAAATATTAATCGAGAGTAAGAATATTACATGAAGACGAAGAATGCACTAGCAGGCCTCTTGGGCTTGTTTGGATCCTTAGCTGCCTTTCCTGATTTCTTTGCTGCTGCTGCTCCTCCTTTGGTTGGTTTCTTGTTCACAGAGAGCCTGAACAACCACGTCAGAAAAAGACATGAGTCTAATCACGAAACGACAACAAAACTTGAAAACCGAATTTTCTAGATCTAAGATCTACGAGACCGCAAAACACGTTTCACACGTGACAATTGATGAAATTGAGAGAAAACGAGATTTGAAGAAACTTACTTAGCGCTCTTGGTATCTGACTTTGATCTACCTCCTTTCATGGAGAAACCTGCAGTTTTAACACCGGATCAGCTCAAAACACGATTTAAATCAATGAGAACCGATCAGAGGGTGAGAATCCGTTCAAAATCTGCGAGACTTACCGGTGTGGGGGGTTAGGGTTTGAAAGAGAGAGGAAGAGTGGTAGAGAGAGGATATTGGGTGTGAGAATAGGAAGAGAATTGAGGGAGAGGCGGAGATATTAAGTGTCGTGAAGGAAATTGAAATTCAATTGCGGGTGAAATGAAAATTGGGGAGGTGGAAGGGGTTTAGGCGGGATTTGGAAATTTAATGACACGTCATCGATCTTTGCGCTTATAATCTATTGGTTGCGTGGGTCTTAAGTTTTGGACGCCTTACCCTTTGATATTTGGCTTTCCTCTTTGTGCTTCTCTTTGTGCTTCTTTGCTCTCACATAAGTAATCATTTATGATAATGTAAGATTGGTTGGATTCCAGGGATCTCAGGCCCAACTTTGATTGCTGAAATGGTCTGGCCCATGGATCAGCTTTGATTTCTGCAATGATCTGGCCATTGCCCAACTTTAGCATTTTCTTATTATTGTTAATAGAATTTTTTTCCAGCAGGGTTAATTTTTTTTAATATACGAGAATATATTAAAATAAAAATAATTTAAATAACCTGAGCTAATTAGCTCGATAATATTTTAGGAATGAAAGGGGAACAAATAGAATGCTCAGGACTCTAAAATATATAATTTTAAATAAATAAAATTACAAATAAATTAATTTTAAAAAAACATGAAATAAAAAAATCTAAACCGATCTGGGATCACTCTACGAGCACATCATCCGCGATACAAGGTTGTGATAAAAAAAATTTTAAAAAAATATCTACATAGAAACAAATAAATAAACCAAGTCACATTAAATTAACTTAATAAATATTTGATTAGGGATAGCCCCATAAAAATAAATAAAAAAATAAAAAATCTCAAAACTTGGTAACCCAGCATTAAAGAATTAAATTAAAAAAAATTAAAAACACTAACAAAAATAAAACAATTCAAGTTGACGGAAAAAAAAAATGTTTCATGCCCCATAACACTCACAATCGGATTGGCAAGAAGAGATGCAATGGGAATTGATTTCAAAATATTGTTCTCTATCGTAATGTTATAGAATAAAATTAAAAAAAAAATTAAATTAAAATATTTTTTTTAAATTAATAATTTTAATTACGAGACTGATATAACCCTATACAAAATAAAAAAATATTCAATAAAATTCTTAATTATCAAAAAATTAAAAAGAAAATAAATGATAATAAAAATAATAAAAACCTAAACTAATATATAATCAATGAAATAAAATATCAAGGACTTTACTGAACAATAAAAAAATAGTTATAAAAAGTAATTAAAATAACGAGAACAAAAATTAAAAAACAAATAAAATAAAATATTGAGAAAAAATTGAAAGAGAAATATAAATTAAAAAAATTAAAAATTAAAAGAATAAACATCAAACAGGATTAAAAAATGAAAAAAAGTAATTAAAATAAAAATAAAAATAATAAAAAATGAAAAAAAATATCAAAGAAATAAATGAAAAAAGGTAATTAGAAAGTATAAAAAACAATTAAAAAAATGAAAACCCAATCTCAAAAATTGAAATAAAACCGCAAGGGACAAGATCAAAAGACGAAACAAACAACGAGAAAGATAACAAAAAAAACAAACAACAAAGAGTGAATTGCTAAGCAACTCGATGATTTTAAAATCAGTTTATGAAATCTTCATAAAGGTGATAATATCTGTACTTTTTGGTCGTTAATGGTCGGTAGCCTGCTTTTGTTATTTGTCTGATGCATCTGTTCATTTGCAACGGGTAATAAATCAGAGAAGAATCATGTGGGAAGGCGAGATGCGTTTAAATGGACAGAACACATGGATGATGCCTTCAGTGATGCACTTATCCGGCAAGGCGAGATGCGTTTAAATGGACAGAACACATGGATGATGCCTCCAGCGATGCACTTGTCCGGCAACAAGGTCCGGGAAGCAAGGTTAATAATACGGTGAAGGGGCGGCGTGAAAAGATTTGAAAGAAGACCACTCGAAGAGTCGTTTGAAAACCCCTAAGAAATAACTTCAACGAGTGTTTGGAGTCCTGGAAATAAAATGCGGGGCGCAGAGCCTGAAACAATGAAAGGGCTGTCAACATTTTCTCTTACGCAACGTTTAATTACATCAATGCTCCTGGAAAGGATGCGTCAAACATGCCTTGTCTCATGTAGTGTTCGGTAATTTTTGCGGGACCGGATGGATAGAGATAATGGAGAAATGAATATATTTGATTAAAAAGATAAAGATAATAATATAAAAATAAATTTATTTTTTAAATAAATTTACAGTGGATTTCAGTATTTTTAAAATAGAAATGCATTAAGATATATTCATAAATAATATTTTAAAATGAATTTATATTGAGTGGTTTTTTATCTTAAAAACATGTAAAAAAAATATATTCGAGCTGCAAATAAAATTTTATTTCAAGTTTATTTTAGGTTTAAGTTGTCTTTTTATATGTGTGTTCTGTAGCCATTAATTGGTTTAATGGGTTGAAAATAATTTTTTTTTTTTTGTTAAAAAACCTAACTTTGTTTTTCCAACTACTCTAGTGGTTGTAATATGATAATTGATAAACAATGTGTTGTTTTTTTTTTTTTTATTAAGAGCATTACATCATCCATCCCGTTTACTTAAAACAATTAAAAGCGAGTGAAGGGGTTCTTTTTTAGGGGCCAAGAACATGACCTTACCTTATTTTTATTTTTTTATTAATAAATATTATTATTAAAGATTAAATAAAAATATTAAAATATGTGAGAAAATTATTGTACATATTCCTTTGTTTACTGGGAACTGTAACAATGAATTGACAATCTTGCCATTAATAAAACTATTACTTAGCTGCCTTTTAAAGTAAAACGGTATTTTCATTTGAATCATTTGTTATTTTTTAATTGTTAAGATTTATCCTGGTTTTTATTTTTTATTTTTGCACAATTAGATGAAATTGTTGCCTTAGAAGCAAATAATCAATTAACTATGGTTCAGAGTCTTTTTTTTCATCTTATATTTTTTGCTATAATTATTCTATTATTATTGGATTTAGATTTTAAAGCTATAACTTTCATATGAAAAATAAATTCTAAATTGTATCATTTTGAAGCTCAAAATTATAACTTTCAATGGTCAAATTTATAATTTAAGATATAAAATTATAACTTTCATGAAAAATAAACTCTAGATTGTATTATTTTAAGGCTTAAAAACAGTAATCATAGTAGTCCTTTTTTATCATTAAAATTTTAGACGACATGGATTTTCATCCTTTTAAAATTCTTTTCAACTTTCAATTTATTTTCTTGTATGAAAATATTATTTAAGATCATTTGACATCATTAAATCACAAATTTAAATTCATTTTTAAAAAAGACATTTAAACAATTTTTTAAAATAAGGAAACTCATCCCTTTAAAATTTCTCTTATTTCCTTTACACACTATATATATTAATATCACTATCACGTAGCATTATTGACACAACAAAACAATAAACCATTTATTTTTCACTTTCTTGTTTTACAATTAAACATACCAAACAAGACTTTAATAACTAATGTTTTTACATCATCATTGATAATAATTTCACCATAATAGCTACAGTCAATGATATTTTTTTGTTATCTAAACAACTTGTCAAAAATATTATCATAGCCAGCCTTAAATATATTTTATTTTTTAACTCTTCTTCATTTCTATTTCTTAATGATTCCACCTTATCCATGTCCATACAGCCTAAAAGCCGTCCATACAGCCTAAAAGTTAGTTTTTTATTCATTTAATATGTTCATGTAATAATGTTTCTTTTTATTCTTGCACTATGATCATCATTCCCTTCATTTTAAGAATACGCATTTCATCTATAGTGATATTAACAATAAAAAAATATTTTACTAATATATATTCCATAAACCCTAATACCTGTATAATTTTAATTTCATCAAAATATATATTCAGTTAAATTTTCTAAATTCTGCACGAGTTAGCCAAAATAAAAATAAAAAAGCAATACATCATTCATCTTGAATTATATTTTTAAATCCAGCTATGATAAACTCTAGAATCTTTCACGGTATATCTCAAACTCATGATGATCAAATAATTGAATCTCTATGTATTATAATAAGACCATGTTAACCTAAAAATTAATGAGTTATTGTTTAACACGAACAAAACCTTTATGGAAAGTTTGTTCTCGATCTTTACTATTTTGAATGAAAACCACATCTAGACGCACTGTATATCCAAAAATAAATATGATTTGGTAGTGTTAGAGAGAGAAATTAGTTGATGATCGAAACTTCCCTGCAAAGTATTTTTTTTCTAGGATATCTCGAACGATGATTTTCATCAGGTAAAAAATTATTTTTTCACATTCCTTCAGTTAGATGGTAGAGTTTTACGAGCCAAACATTACATCCAAAATACAACTAGATTCAGCAGTTTATGCCAAATATATGATCGTTATAATGTATTGCCTCTTGTTATTTGGCTCATCTAGATTATTTCCTTTTCTCTCTGGCCTGATTTTCTCTTTTATTTCTCATGTTTTTTACACGTGTCATCCTTTTCACTATACATCACAATTCTTTTTATTATTGTTATTTTTTTAATCTTGATTTCCATTACTCATGGAGATCTTATTACTTTCAATTTTACATTTATATTTAAAATTTGGTTGATTAGGAATTGAGATTTATAAATTTTTTATTTACTTTCTACGTGGTTATTAGAATCTCATGACTTGATTCCCATGTTAGGCTGGTTGATTTAATTTTTTTTATTATTTTGTTTTGTTTTTTAAAAAATAATCATTCAATATTAGATTGACTGAGAATTAAATTTTATAATTTATTTTGATTTTTATTCTTCAAAGTTATCAAGGTTTATGATCTGGGTTACAGATTTGATAAATCAAGTAAAATATTTTTTATTTATTTAATTATTTTTTTAATTCACCTTTTATTATTGAGAACTGAGCTTTGTAATTTGTTTTGATTTATTTTTGATGTAGTTTTAATATTAGATTTGACATATTAACTTGAATTGATCAAAACTAATATAATAAGTTGTCGTTTTAATATTTGAAAAAATATGTCATCCTAAGTTTTTCAAGTTAAATTATATTTTTATTAGTTGTTCGGGTTGTTTTCAA